GCCTATTTTCATCTTATCAAACGATGGCGCAAAGATGATGCTGTAAAGCTCCCGTTGTCGATCAATACTCGATGAACAGTTCTATTGGCAACATCCGCCCCTACCACCGAAGGATCATCATGGGGATGCTGGTAACCTTCCAGAATTGAGTCAGAGAAAGTGATGGGCATGTCCAGACATGGAGTCTTGGATATAGTATGTACTTCTAATGTTTCATTAGCTCTAATTCTACGTATGTGAGCTTTCCTAGCAGAGTTGGATTCCCCCACTCCAAATTCTCCAAGTATTACTCTGATTTCCCCTAGGGGTTGTTGGTGTTGTACAGGGGCTTGCTGTTGGGGTGCTGGAGGTGGTGGAGTTCGGTTCTAGTTATCATGGGCAACAAAATGACGTAGTTGCCCCTTTTAGATCAGGAACTCAAACTCCTTCTTTAGTTGGATATAGTCATCAATGTGGTGACTATGATCTTTGTGGTACTCACAATACGTCATGGGGTCTTTCTTTGCTGGATCTGCCTTCATTCGAGGGGGCCATTTTAAGAATTTCTCATTCTGCACCTCATATAGGATCTAGGACACTGTAGCAGTGAATGGAGTATACTACTGAGGTGCATACCTCGGCTACAATTCAGGCTGTGGGGGACCTAAGCGATCCTTGACATTTTCCCTCCTTTTTAGAGAACATTCCCTATCTCTTCTGGGAGATCTGTTTCTTCTTGAGACCTATTTCTTTCTCTTTCTTTCCTAGGACTTTGATCCCTTTTTTTTCCTCTTTCTCATTTCCTTTCTGGGATGATGATCTCCCTACCTTAGAGAGAAGTGTTTCCTCGTCATTTATATACTTCTCTGCCTTAGCCAGCACCTCGGGCATGCTTGCTTGAGGATTCTTGGATATGGAGAACATCAAGTCCTTTGACTGTACTCCTAAACTAGCTATGAAAGTAGTAATGGCAAATTTTTCATCTGGGACAACTACCTTTAGGGATTCCAAGTTGAACCTTTGGACGTAAGACCTTAGGTTTTCTTGAGGTCTCTACTTCACATTCAGCAAGTGGTAGCTCGGCTTTCTATATGTCCGAGCTCCTATGAAATGAGACACAAAAGAGATAGAGAGCTCCTTAAAGGAGGATATGGAGGCTGGTGGGAGCCTGTTGAACCATGCGAAGGCGGACCCCTTCAGCGTGATCACAAAAGCACGACAGTGCACTAGATCTTGGTATCCGTGCAGCTCCATCTGATTTTTATATGTATTGAGGTGGTCCATGGGGTCCCTAGATCTATCAAAAACTTCTACCTGTGACATCCTGAATTTCGGTGGGAGGGGAAAGTGCAACACCCTAGGAGTAAATGGTGACTCGATTTGTTGCACCAAGGCACCCATAGTTACTGGATTTTTACTCCTCACGGCTTCCTTCACATGGCTGAGCTCCTGTTGAATATCTCTGAAGCACTGCTCCCAGTATTGGTCTCTTCATTCCTACTGGACCGGGCTAAAATTGTTCCTCTCATTCTTATTACTTTGGCTCTGCACCTCTTCATTGTCTTCGTTCCTCGGAGGCGGTTGAGGAGCCTGACTATTTTCTCCCCCTTCATTAGCTTCTCTAAGGGGGTCGAGGTGTGGCTGTTCCTTGTGAGGGGGATCATTCTGGCCTCCTCGGGCTGGTTGTACCTCCGGTGGGCGCTGCAAAAGTTTCAAGAGTTCCTCATTCTGCTGCAGCAAACGCTGGCTAACTAAGCAAAGGGCATCCAACTCGTTGTTTGTGGAAGGATTCACCACAGGAAAAAATCTTGAGGATCTTTGTGTTGTCTGTCGCTAGTAATTTCCTGTTGGTTCTACACCCGTGGGGGATTCATTTGGCTTCTGCTTATTTTGCGAGTTAAGACCATCAGTTACTAAAAGATCAGTATACTTGTAACGAGAACAATCGTTCTCACAGACGGCGCCAAACTGATGGTACTAACTAGGCCAATTGAGAAGAATGAATAAGATGCACCAAATGATCAGAATCAAAGTGTTTAAGGATTAAGGGGCTGAGGTGATTTGCAAAGTAAAAGTATAGTGGTTTACCGAACTCGAGAGTTTGGCTAATCCACTCTTTTAATGGAGTCGCCTGCTCTTTCAATCTTTATTAATTATGGATGTGATTTATAGAGTGTTTTTGGTAGCACCAAGGTTGCTTGCCTCTCAAAGGAGGCGATGTACGACATTTATAGTCTAATTCCTACCTCTAAGGGATCTGCAGCGAGATGCTTGCTCTTCGTCCGTAGGATTTTCCTTGATTTTGGGAGGGGATCTTGGGTGGTTGAGAATTTCACGCCTTAATCACTGCCCTCTTGTTGTTTTGTGGACACCTCTTATTGGCCGGTTGTTCTTCTCTCACCTCCTCTGATTTTTCATCCGAGAGGGGCTCGGGACCTGGGCTTTTGAGCTCTGGGCTCCTTATCTGACCTCGCTTCCTGAGGTCGTTCTTGGTTAAAATTTATTCATGTATCATCAAGGATCATTGATGAAATAAATAGTATAAATGTGTTATCTTTTTTTATTGATTAATATAAAACATGTTAGAGTGCCTCTACAACGTTTTTATGGCTCCGCACTGATGAATGGAGGATCATTTAAGTTAAATGACTGGTTGAATGGTGTTTGGCAAAAAAATTCCTAGTCTTTATGTTTCCATGCCACTTTCACTTTTCCTCTTTCGTTTCTTGAGCAATCAAGACTTCAGGTTTATTTGCAATAGCTAAAAGTTCTTTTAGATGGTTCTAAAAAAACCAAGCTTTATTAAGAGTCTAAGACTCTTGAGAATGAGTAAAAGGGGAGTTAGAGTCAAAGACTCTATCCTCTTGACAAAGAAGTTGATGGTTTTTGGCCACAATGTAGAGATATTGTCGCAAACAGCCTGCCACATTTTTTTTTTTTTTGTGTGTGCGCGTTGGTGATCTTTGCTGAGAGAAGTCAGGAAGTACCATTAATTTTTCTTGGTCTGAGAAGAGCCCAAGGCTTTAGCTACCATTTTTATTTTTCAGATTTTCTATTGCAAAGAAGCTCTGGCCAATGGATATCAATTTTCACAAATGTCCTGCGACAAAAGCTGAATTTGCACATCGCCCTACACTTTTTTTTTTTGGCTATGTCGTTGTCTACACGATGTGGACTGTGCCTACAGAAATCAAAAACTCTCATGAAACTTCAGTCAATCTGACAGGGCCCCAAAGGCAAGATGTTTGGCGACTCCAAGAATAGTATCAAACTAAGCTTTTGCCCTAATCTATGGGATTTTTTGAACTTATACCCAAAAGAGCGTGTTTTTTAAATTATTTCTCAAATTCAAGTACTTTTAAAATCATCACTCTAACCGACATTTTTATACAGAAAGACGTTAATTCCACTTGTAAAAACATCATTTCAAGTAACATCTTTAAAAAAACCTTTATGTTTTTAAAAATTACATAAAACGTTAGTCGGAACAACTTCTTCTTAAAAAGTCAGAATGGTCGAAAAAATATTTGCTTGGCCAATGAGGTTCTTGCCGGTTCCACGAAGAGTGTAACTCTTGTAGGTTTCTCCTCCTCTCTTTATTTGTTGACTTTCTTTTCCAAACTCCATCTTCTCTTTTTTTTCTTCACCTGCCGCTCTACTCTTTATTTTCCCTCTTTTTTTTTTTAACCCCTCTGTTTTCTAGACTCCTTTTTTTTTTCTCCCAACCGCCCTTTCTTTCAACCTTTATTCTCTTTTTCATAGAGGATTGGTACTAGATAGTTGGAGACTTCGAGCATATCCAATTTTAACTCTAATTTAGACTTAATTTAAGTTTGAGTTTAAATGGTCTAAAACCTTTGTTCAACTTTAGACCCAAAATCTATACCAAATGACAAAAAAAAAAAAATTATTCTGTATATCAAATTTTTAACTGCAACTTTTTACCCTATCAAAAGTCTGAAAGACTTCTTCGACAACTTGTTCTCTGCCTCTTGTTGACTCTCTCTTCTACGCTGCTTTCATCGCCAGCCACTACCGAAGCATTCACGTATCTCTTGAAGACCTGTAGTAAGCTTCTTCCTTTTCATCTTTTATCTTCTTAATTTGTTATAATTTTTAAAATTCTAATCTTACTCATCTTTTATATTATATAAACCCTAAGCGTACCTATCAAATTTTGCTTTGATGTCTTCAAGTTAAACACTATTGATGATGTAATTTTAGGCCCTGATTCTCCCCAAAATTTTAAGCTTTCACTATCCAAAAATTTTAAAAATTTGTCATTTAATTTCTTCAATCATCCATTTTTGTTGAAAACGATATATTTTTTTGTATTCTTCAGACAAGGTGCATGTGAAAGTAATTACCTTTTTTTTTTTATGTAGATGTGCAGAGGAAGGTAAGAGATTAGAACAATCTAAGACTTCTAGAGGGATTTTCTTTTTCTTTTTATTCCCATGTGGTGTTGTATCCAAATTCATTTTTTTTTTTGAATTATACATTTGTGGAGACATATGAATGTTTTATTTATTTTATTAGATTTCATGATTGAAATGACACAAAAAAATGAACTTTGAGACAATAAGAATTTTTTAAAAGATTTGGGTAGATATTTGAATTTGCTAATTGGAGTATTCTAAACAAAATCAAGGTTTTTATTCAAATTTGAATTGATATGGTATCCCCGTTAAATAAAGTCATTAAATAAAGTTCATACAACATTACTCCAAAATAATTACTCGCACAAGACAAACTTGTTAAATTTCAAACAAATGCATTGATCCAGCCGACCCCATGTACAAGGAGCCTTTTGTGAGCATTAAGGATTGGAAGTTCAAAGTAGGAACGAGAGAATGGAATCATTGCATACTACACAATTACCAAAATATTATTATAAGCACAACCAACAGCTACAATGACATACGAAGGTAAGATAGTTACCAAACCAAGGGTTTATACAAAACACTACATATTTATATTTGGACGGGACCTATACTTCACAAGTAGAGGGCTGTGGAAACTCAGCAGAAGCATGAATAAGCCAAGTGGTTCTTCTCAGATATATATGGGGAAATATAATCTCTACGAGAAGGAGAAGTCATTTGAGCAGGAACTAGAATCTGTGTCTTGCCAGAAGCAATTCTCTTTCCAATTACGGTGGCGTAGAACAAGCAGGAAACGGCAGGCACAAAGACATCACTCTCAGAGCAAATATGGAAGTCAATGACCTTTTCGAGTTCAGAACTTCCTGAGCTAAGCAAGTTTGCCTTTTCCTTTGCAGACATTATATCTTCCTGTCAAAATTTCAGGAAATGCATAGAGAAGCTTATCAAGTAATGCAAAGTCCAAAACTAAGAAGCAATGATTTGGCAAGACAACTGCCCATCTGTTCAAACCAAGAGAAATCTTTCTAATCCGCTAAAATTTCTACATTGATTCAAACAAACCTGAAGTTAAGCCTAATAATTGAGAACCTACAGTTGATCTGACATATCAGTAAATGAAGAGAAATTTTTCACCAATGTTGCATGCCAATATTTAACATCATTTAGTCAATTGTTTGAATTGTCTCTAAGCTTCACTACTAAAATTGTTTTTAAAAAAAATGATAGATAAATGAATTTAAAAAGAAAAATAACAGTATTATAGTATTCCCAGAGAAAGATTAAATCATTATGGCAACTGCAATATGAATACACCAGGATGTTGTCCCCTTAGTACTAGAAAATATTTAATGCACCAGTTATACCATGGTATCATCACCCAATAATAAAATCTCAAATGGACAAAGTGAACCCCACTTAAATAGTTATTGACTTATATGTAAGAAGAGTGGATAGTTATTGACGTACAAGAACAAGTATTTATTAGTTTGTGTGGTGTTTGTTTTCTTAGAGTAAATATTGAATACAACGGTGATACCGTATCACAATTGCTTACATGACAAGTTAGTTACTAATTTTTGTGAGATCCATCTGTTTATTTGTTTTAGTATTATTGGTTGGTGATATCACATCACCTTTCCACGTGATATCACCGTTGTAATGAATATTTTCCGGTTTTGTTATTTGTTTAGACATTATTAGTTGGTCAATGATGACAAAGAATATTTTTTCCCTTAGTACATGGGTTTGACATACAACCAAGAAATGGAAGGGCAGAGTCTAAAACATATTACACTATAACGAGGATAGAGATTCGTCCTTGGTAAACTGTTTGAGGAAATTTTCTTATGCAAGATCGTACAATGGTTGACCCCCGAAAATGCATAATGTTGTCATGATGTGCTGGTAAGAACTAAAAAAATTGAACTTGAATCCCTGATTTTGATCCTATATATGGAGATTTAACCCTAATGCAGTTGATGCTTTGTACAGGATGGTATATATTTAGATGTCTTCAGATTATACCAGAATGAAAAGGTACACGCAAAAAAAGATCTATGCCTAAAGAAGCAAATGGGATTGATTATTTCATTTGAAGAAAAGCAAAGTCCTTACCTTTGTATATGTGTTGGGGTAGATATCTCTTAGCGCATCAAGGCTAGTCTGCCATCGAGACTCCGTCAAATAAATTGTGGTGTTTGTTTGAAAATCAACCTTCTTCAGAAATTCACCAATCTCCTGAGCATTATAACATCTTTTTCTTCGTCTAGCTTCATTCCCTTTACATTTCTTTTCCAGCATCTCAACCCTCAAATGCACTGCAATATACTGACCATTTGACTTCTGGTTCAAAGTTTTTAGCCTCCAAATCATTGAGTTAACCACTTGCTGCAACCTTGGTTGCAACTGCAGAATCTCAAACATTGCCAAGCATGAATATGGATCCACGTACTGGGTCTCTTTTCCCTTTGTCATTATTAAAGAAGGGTAGTAAATTTCAAGTCTCAAGTTCCCTTTAATTCTGAACAATGGTTCAACCTTTGTAGCAATGTAAGTTTCGCAAACCCTGTTAGGCACCCTAACAACAGGGAGCTTCTCACTTGATACTAGGGCAGGGTGATCCCTAGCTACTTCAATTATGCCATCCAAGGTTCTTATAAATTTCTCCACATCATATATTTCCTCGAAGTTCCTGCAGCATTTTAAAGTATGTTAAAGTTCTTGTTGAATTCATCATTGAATTCATTGATGCCTATGAACCAGCCTGCATTCATCAAGGTATGACATGTTGTCTAACCACTAATCAGCCAAAATATATTTTCTTGGTTTGTATTGTAGAAATGTTTGCTTCAACCCCACGAAAATTTAGAGAAGTTTATATCCATTTAAAAAGAATCATAGGCCATAAAATAGCATTGGATGAAATTTTAATTATGACAAGAATGAATAGAGTCCCAATTTCAAAAAATGGCAATGGCCATTATAATAGTCTTCATTGGTGATTAACCCTTGAAGTTTTGAAAGGTATATTAACCCATCGAGTCCTGTCCATTCAAAATAACATGACAAGTAAAACACCGAACATGTTGGCCAAGTAACATTTCAAACTGTAATCACGAATTCATAAAATCTTGGGATTGAGAAGGATCTGCTTAGGCTTGAAACCAGTTTGGATTTTCGATATTAAGACAATTATGTGGTGAAGAGATTTTTTATTTTATTATTTCTTCTTCTTCAGCACAAAATAAATAACAAAGATATTATCCCAGGATAATGGATCAAATTAATCATGGCATTTTTAATCTGTAATAGAAATGAAGATTGAATCTTGAGCATTACAATGACTCAATGATTTTATAATCTTTGTGTACTTCCTTAAGATTGGATTCTCAAGATGAACAAACCGATGGGAGAAAATTGGTCACCATTAGACAGACATGAACACAACAGACTTACCTCATATACCTGAGACTTATCACTAATAAGTATATGTGCTAGGTGGTCAAGCTGATTATAGTTTACAAAATTTATAAACACAAATATGTCACATTGGTAAGACCCCCTATTGAAGCCAGACACAACCATAAAGACAAAATATGCAGACATAATCTTTCAGTGTCATGTTGAGAACTAACCTCTTGTCGCTTGATTTACTTCCTTGAATGTTAGGGAGCACAAGTGTTGCTCCAAGATATCTAGCTACTTTTATTGCATCAGCAATCTAAGGAACCCAATCAAAGGTATAATTTGTGTGAGAAAAGGATGCAACACCAATTGAAGATGGAACATTCTAGTATTAGATACACAAAAACTATATATTATTACATGCTATGGAGGACAAATCACTGAAAATAATGTTGAATTTTCTCTTATAAGAATGCTAGTTGCAAAAATTCATGGGTTCGTTTATGTTTTTTACTTTCCTTCAATTAAGTAGTTACACCTTTTATTTGAATAGTTATTACTAGAATCAAAATCAACTAGTATGACCCCATTGAAACAAGTAAATGACTACCATTGAGCCATGATAGTCAAGAAATGATGAAAATAAATTAGTGTCAACTCGTGTTATTACCGGGTAATGAATGTATATTGATTACCGTAAACTTAATTCTCTCACTATGAAGGATTACTTTTGTTTGCCTTTTTCTTGATCAAGTCTTAGAAATGATAGTTGATCATATTTTTTATTGCTAATGCTTCCTATATGGGTACTCAGGGTACAACCAAATTGAAATAACACAATGACTAGAAGAAGAAAACGATATTCACATTCCCTTTTGACACATTTGCATACTGTCGGGTTTATTTGTTTATTTACTTTCCTTCAATTAAGTAGTTAAATCTTTATTTGAATAGATGCCACTATAACCAAAATCAACTAGTATGACCCAACTGAAACAAGTAAATGAATTGCATAAAACTATACAATTGAACCACCAAAGTTTGTTTCCATGTTATTTTTCATAGATCTACTAGTGAAGCCAACCAAATGAAAGGACATCATATCTAAAATCAACATCACTAGGCAATTGCCTTCATTATGTGGTCGGGGGCCTAACATCAAACTATTTTTTGTGCATTGTTCAATAAATTAGCTCTTTCAAAAATGTTCTTTCGTGAAAGATGCACCAAACATGTTGGTTACAGAATGAGAAACTTAAGAACCCTTTCCCTTCCTCCCCTAGACAAACAAAAAGAGAGACAAAAAAAAAAGAAACAAATCATCGAGTTCACGTAAGCAAGCACAACTTTCTGATCTAAGTAAAAATCAAACGTTATTGAATGCCTTACAAGGCTCAAAAAATAAAGCAACTCTCAAATACATTGCTCTTGTAAACTGTAAAATATATTGGAAACTATAGTTTTGATGGTTCTAGTTTTTTTAGCAATGGAAATTAGATCTATCAGAAAATAAGTAACCATTGTCAGGCAATTTAAACTGGCTTGCAATATGGAAAAGAATATGAGCAAAATAAGAAAGAAGGAACATGTCCATAGTGTAAAAATCTGAAGTACATCACATTGAAGACTTCAAACATTTCAATTCAATGCTACATACCAGAGAAAATATTGTCTATAAATGCTTGTTTCGTGAGCTGACCACAATGTTGACCCTATGCTTGGTGAAGCAAGGTGGGAAGAATGTTGACCCTATGCTTCGTGAATGATAGTTTTGATGACAACAAATACTCTTGCATGACTAATCATCTTAATGTGAATTTTGTTTTTGTAAAGTATTGAACAGGCTTGATAGAAGAGATGGTTGAGCATGTAATGTGCTACATCGAATACAAAGAGTCAAAGGAGAAGATGTCAGTGAGTTAAATGCTAAATTGGATGATCCAATTTGCGATGAAAGTAAGACACTGAGCATTGCTAAAGCGAATAATTGAAGATGCGAAGAAGCGAAGGCAATGAGCATGAGAACCTTATGCAACAAACTCGTCGGTTTGATCGTTATAAGTGCAGAACTTGAGTGGTTAATGATCTCACTTACATGACCGTTGTTCAAGTTCAGAATATAATTATGTCTCTTGACAAAAAAAAGTGAAAGGATTAAGGCAAAGGAGTGGAATAAACAAGTCAAGGAAGAAAAATGCTAAATCCAGTCAATTTGACTTAGTTTCGGTATTATGAGCATAACTTTAAACTCAAATGTTCAATTGACTTGATTCTTATGCGATTGAAAGTAGAAATCAATGACTACAGGTTTATCTGAAATAGAAATGTTCAGATTCAAAGTTTTTGAAGTAAAAAATAGCATGGAAGTTGAAGATAATGAACAGATACTGGTAATCAGGAGAATGAGACACATTCTCAATAATTTGGACATAACTTTTTACTTCAATGTCTGATTGATATTATTCAAAAAGATGTGAAAATTATACTTAAAGGGCTACATCTTTTTCTGAAATAAGTGTGGTCATATGCGAAAATTTTGAGGGTCAAAATCGATTTGGAAGTTAAGAACAGTGCACAGCTCCGACCTACCAATGAAGGAATCTGGACGATCGGATGAGGAAATCGGACGACCGAAAGGCAAAATCATGTTTTGTCCTATTTTGGACAGAATGCTTTACTAGATGACCAAAGCTTGGCCCCGAACAACCGAACAGGACCGTCGAAGTTTCTAACAGCTAATTTCTTTGCCTATTCTTCTTGTGCAAAGACTTACACTATAAAATGACATTGTGAGGCTTGAAGAAATTAAACTGTTTGAGACTTTTTGGGGCTATGAATGAGTTACAAACACATTAAAGAATGCATGAAATGGTGATTATCTTGCAATAGAGATTGTATTAGCTCTTTTATTATTCTCTCTTCTTGTAATCTTTGAGAGTGAACAATTTCTAGGGAGAAGAGAGAATTTCTTGTATCGGTTGAGTTTGGGATTGTAAGGATGTGTCTTCACCTACCGAAGAAGATGAAACTTGTAAAGGGCTTCACCCATTGAAGAAGATCGAGATAGTGAAAGGGAAGCTCCAAGGAGGAGGCAAAAGAGAGGACGTAGATCATCATAGTTGGGCAGAACCTCTATAATTCTTGTTTCTTCTTCTTCTTCCCTACCAATTTGCATCATCCATATTGCACTACACATCATACAAATTATCTTCTTTATAACATAATCATTTTTTTTATCACTGGTAAAAATCAATAAAGCCAAAATTAGTCACTCAATCAAACAACCTAATTCACCTCACTTCTTAGGTTTCTTTAAGGCCGTCAATTGGTATCAGAGCAAGGACTTTAACTATATTATGTAACAACATTAAAGTAAAAAGATCATGGCAACCATGGACAGTAATGTAATTAAGGGACAATTTATTTTTAGAGCTCCATTATTTAATGGAAGTGATTATGCTTATTGGAAGGCTAGAATAAGCATATATATGATGTCTTTAGATGATGAAGTGTGAGATTTAATAGAGGAAGGCCAAATAGCATCAACCAAGCAAAAAATAAAAAATAAAAAAAATGGGATGAAGCAGATAAGAAATTGTACTCTTTAATTGCCTAAAGCTATGAATGTTTTCTGTTGTACTTTAGATAAAAATGAGTTTAATCAAATTTGTATTTGTGACTCGGCAGAACAAATTTGATGCACACTTGAAGTCACACATGAGGGCACCAATCAAGTCAAAGAATTCAAAAATTAATATGCTTATATATGAGATGCAAAAGAGTCTATTATTTGATAAGGTCGCTAGATTTATGAATATTATAAATGTTATGAAATCTTGATAAATCATATTCCACTAAAGATCTTGTGAGTAAAGCTTTCATATGCTTGCCATGAACTTAGGAAGAAATGGTAACGACCAAGTACTTCCTTTGTGACTTATTTTTATTGTTCTAAAGATGAATACTATGCAAATCAAATCCTATTAGAAGATCACTTCAAAATTCAATGTACTGTAAGGACTCTAAAGGATGTAAAATAATTTAGGTGCCAAAGGTCAAGTAGTTGACATTGAAAGCATGGCATATAGTTCCTTACTTCCAATAAAAATATGCATTTCTCAATTAGTTGAAATTTACCTTGCTTAGTATTAGCAAATTATATGATAAGGGATATAGATTTATATTTGAGGCTAATATATGAAAATATCATTGATGATTGCATTCTATTTATGGTTAAAAGTTTTGAAAATATATATATATATATATATAATTGATTCAAATGGCTTGCATAATTGGAACTTTGAAGAGAAAAAATTTATGCATTGCGACATATGTATATTTGAATTATTTGCTACTTCACATGCATATTGTGACTTATACCACATGAAATGAGTGTGCTATTTTAGATACATGACATAGAGTTGCAATTGAATCAAATTGCATTGTAAAGTTGGAAGAATGTATAATGATCTAATTTGGTTTACTACTTAAGGATATGAAAGTTGGAATAAATATGGGCCAGTAAATCAAAATATGAAATACTTATTGATAGTGAATGATGATGTTTTAGTTATGGTGTGAAAGGCTAGAACATTGTATTATAGATACACCTAGATACTTTTGGGCACTAAAAACATTATCACAAAATACACCTAGATACTTTTGGGCACTAAAAACATCATCACAAAATAGATTCGTTGAATGAAAGAAAATCTTAAACTTATGAGACTAAAATGACTTTACAAGCACAAGGTATGCTATTATATGAGAAATTAAGAGGAACTTGTGAATTGGTTGAATAAGGTCTTATAGAAAATGCTATATGGAGAATCTATACCTAAGACCATAGAACAAGAGGAGCTCAAAATGCAAACAAAAATTACTTCCTGCAAAACCTCCTCCGAATGCTCTTAAATAGGATAAGTGACATATTCTTGGGGGTGTATGAGTCTTGAATGATTTTGTATTAGACTTCTTTGAGAATCGTCGAATTAGCAACTATTCTACTTAGTATTTTTCAAATTACATATCTTTTGGGCTTAAATGAAAACGGGATACTATGAATTAATGTTTACATTAAACCTTAATGATCATATCATAAATATAGACTTAAACATATAAATAAACAAAATAATAAAATAAAATCTAAACTAAAACTTACAACTGATACTGTACAACAAAAAGAAATCTAATAATCAATTTGGACTGAATCCAAACTTGAATGCTCGACCATCTAATTTTAATGGCATCACATTTTGATGTGGTAGTAAATCCTTAACTCTCACGTAATAGTCATTCATTCTGACATTTGGGAAGAATGCAACAAATAATCAAAATATGTATTTTTAGAATTTTTATCAACTTTAACATCACAAATATTAATCAGGAAAGCTTGGAAAGGATTCAAAGTAAATGGCACATTAAATGGATCTTTCTCAAGTATTTCAATGAAATTGATTTCGTTAACCTCACTGAACTTGTTCATATCAATCACATCATCACTCTTTAGTTTCAAAGATTTCTCGGGCTTTTGGGCCTTTGTTGGAATGGTCTTTTCATTAGTTTTGTCACCCTGAAGAATGATAATGGATTGAACATTAACAATCAAAATAATTTGTTATTTTTTATTAGAATAAAATTTAAATAAACTAGAAATTTTCACAAACACAAATTACATCCACACCCTCCAACCTAAAATCAACATTATCCTCAATGTAAAAATAAATATCTTAATGCTTAATAAAAAATAATAAACAAAGATCAAAGTGGTAGGAATAAATGGTATTGCAACAACTCTAAAACCTTTAATATTTTTACTATTATCATTATTAGACTTTTTTATTGGGATAATAGTACATGCAACATCTTTAGGTCAAAGTATTATGTTATATTTTTAAGTTCCAATCATACTTTTTGTCGTGTAAACCATAAAAGCTAGATACAATCACCAATTCATTATTTTCTCTCTCTCTCTCTCTTTTTGAGCACACAAATAAGTTTTTAAATTAAGGTACTAAATTAGATATTTAAGTTAATTTTTTTCTTACAATATATTACTTACATACCTTTAACAATTACTTCTACAAAGAGAAGTTTTCAAAGATTAAAATTGATAAAATTTTGCCTTAAATTAATTGTGTTATAAGAAAGATTAAGTAA